GGGCGGTGGAGAGAAGGCAAGGCTGGGGGAGATAGGGCATACCTTTCCCTGTTGGCATCCTCTGGTTCTGCCATAGGCCTAGGTGAGCTTTTTCATGGCTGCTTTAGCTGACTTGGATTTGCTGATTGAACTCCCTGTCAGTGATGACGGGTTCTGGGATTCTGTCTGAACCTGCATTTGTTAGAGAATTGCATTGTCGGAGACCCCTCGTGCTGTACTGGGTGTTCTGGCCGATTCAGCAAAGTTTGCTTTCATATCCAACACAGAGTGGGCTCAGGGTTGTTAGGCGGCCCCAGTCATCATCCACCCCGGGTCCAAGTGCCGGGTGCGGTGTAAGTTGCCTGGTGTTCTCGGACTTCTCTTCCTGTGCCCCACTGCCTCTCCCTCCTCTGTGGCTGCTTCAGCTAACAGGATCTTTTTCTTCCCTGTATCCGGGAGCTGAGTCCCAGAGCTAAGGCTTTCTTCTGTTCCATTTTGTCTTCTGCCAGCGGTGCTCCTAGAATGCCCCTCTCACACACACACACCAGCCAGGAGCGGTGTGTCACCTGTGCCTTCCTCAGCCTCACTCGCTCCTGCGTCTGTGCTGTGCGTAATGCACACAGGCTGGACTATTAGTCATGCCTCGGGCAGGCCGCCCCGCACCGCCCCACATCTCTGCCATAATGAATTGCCTAGATCCTGCCAAAATGAGTCGCAGCACAGCCACAAAGGCAACTTACCTCTCCCTGACTCCCCTGCATCCTGCCTTTCTCATCTCCTGTGGTCTGTCTTGCCAGCTGTAACTGCAGCTTTTGCTCCTGGATTTAATTCTGAAGTGTCTTTGGGATTCGCTAATGTATCCAAAGGCTGAAACAGGGGGCTGTTGGGACATTGATGGCTTCCCAGCCTGGGCAGTTGAGCATAGCTTACAAGCAGCAAATGAGTCCACATGGCCTGGAATACAAATGCTTCTTTTTTGGAAAACAAGAGAACCCTAGCAAAAAAAAAAAAAAAAAAAAAAAAAAAAAAAAACACCCAAGTGGTGTAGCCATGTGACTCTTCAAAGAATGAGCAGGCACCGGGATGACAGGTGTCATGCTGTTGGCCTTCAGCAGAGAGTCTGAGATGGTAGGCATTCCAGAAAAGCCAGCTCTCTTCTCTTGACTTGCTGCTTCCTAGGGAGGGAGTGCAGGCTCCCCTGACTGCTGCCATCTCTGCTCCCACGTCGTCTGGTTACACTTCCTCTGGGTACCACTGTGTGTGTTTTCTCACTTGGGAATGTGTTTGGCTGTGCTTGGAGTGCATCTGTCACCGGAAGTCTAGAGAGAGAAGCAAATGCAGGCATGATGTGGGGGCTCGGGGATGTTGTCAGAGACCCCGGCTCCTGCCTGTCCGTGCTGGCACCGTTGATGTGTGGGCTGGTTGCCTCACGCTTGCAGGCTGGATGCCGGGGATCCAGAAATTCTGTCCGCCTTTGAGGCACTAAGAAAGAAGGAGGAGTTGGAAAGGAACTGGATATATCGGTTCCTTATTTCAGGAAAAACAGAAGCTCCCAGATGATGTTTGGGTTTTGTCCAGGGTTTCATATATCGCGTCCCTAACTGGCATCCTAGGTCCCTGGGGAGTTGAGAATGGCCATTACTGCTTTCATCTACTCAGCTACGGTTGAAAATGCCATGGTGGAGTGAGGCAGGGGCAGTGATGCTGTGGCATAGCCAGTTCAGCTGTGGCACCGGGACGACAGGTGTCATGCCAGTGGCCAGTTCAGCTGCCACCTGCATTGTTGCCATCCCATATGCACGCCAGTTTGAGTCCTGGCTGGTCTGCTTCTAGTTCAGCTCCCTAGTCATGTACCTAGGAAAACAGCAGAGGATGGCTCAAGTCCTTGGGACCCCGCACCCACTCGGGAGACCTGTAAGAAGCTCCTGGCTTCAGCTCAGCCCAGCCTCAAACATCATGACCATTTGGGGAATGAACCAGTGGATGGAAGGTTTCTCTCGCTCCCTTCTTCTCTCCCTCCTCCTCCCTTACACCTTCCTTCTGTAACTCTGCCTTTCAAACACATGTGTTAAGAAGAAAAGTTACATCTAATCAAGAAAGAAAAGAAACTGCCTATGGAGTCAGCCAATAAACAAGTACGTGCCACAGCCAAAAGAAGAGAGCTCAGAAGTAGACTGGGCAGGCCAGGAGAGCCTCACCTAACTGCAGAAAGGAAAGAAAATCATATTCTTGTGCCCTTTTAAGATCGTGGGTTAGGAAGCATTCCTGGATACTCAGATGTCACAGGTGTGTCCTTGGCAGTGGAGAAAGGGGAGGTCGAGTAGCACTCTGTGTGTAGCTGAGCGAGCAGCCTGAATCAGAAGGCTGTTCCCCTGTGTCAGTCCCCGGAGCTTGCAGCAGCAGGGACCTGGGTCACTCCAGTCACCTTCATTATACTGCTAGCATATTTAGTGAGCTGTAGACCAAGCAGGAACCTGGAGCAGTTACATTCCAGGCCCCTGCTAAGCGAAGGAAAAGGCTATGATGCTATCTCGAGGGAAATGGTCCAGGGGAATGGACACAGCTCTCCTGAAAAGCTGGTGCTGAGCTCCTCAGAAACCCAGGTGGGCGCCCTCTTACACCTATTTAGTGCCTGCTGGAGCCAGATCATCCCCATGGGCTCCACCAGCCCCAGGACACCAGCCGTCCTTCGTTTCGCTTTTCTTTCACATTCATTTAACAAATGAACTAAGGGTCTAGTGTGGGCGTACTACCTTCTAGGTGCTTGGAATCCATCAGTAACCAAACCAAGATTCCTGCTTTCCTGTGGATCTTAACATTCTTGGTGTGTGTGTGTCCAAGGGGCATGGTGGAGGGAGAGAATGACAAGAGGCACACACACACACACACACACACACACACATAAAATATAGTAAGCCAGCATAGTGTGTTGGAAGGTGATCCCATTGGTGGGGCCCTGTACTGCTGGGGAGAGGCTGCAGGGGTCCCAGCTGAGAACACAAGATCCTAGCAGAGACGTTCTGGTGGGGAGGGTTCAGCTTGCTCACCGCTGGGAGGAGCTGCAGGCAAAAGGACCCACTAGGAGCACATACCCAAAGGCACAGGTGTGCCTGGGTATTCTAAGGGTTTCCATGCCTTCCCCCACCCCATCTTAGTGCTGGTTGGAACCCATCTTACCCCAGCACCACCACTTGCTTTCACATTGTTAACTGTCAAACCAACTCAAAGATTTCTGGACTCAAGGCAATACACACTGACCCTGCTTTGATAATCGGGGCGTAGAGCTGGCTACTGCCTTCCTCCTTGTTCCCCCTTCATGTGACAGAAACACTCAGTGGCTAAGAAAATGGCGGGAATGGTGATAGACCTTCCAACAGGAGAGACAACACATGGGGACCTGGGAGCCTCCCTACCGTTCCCAGACTGTCCTTCCCATTTCCTGTTTAGTGTCTCCTGCACAGAGTGACTCAGTGTTTTCATCATGTTCCGAAACAATTGGCTTTGTCTGTCAGCCATAAAGCCCCAGGTAGGAGAGAACTGTGTTTTCATCTTTCGCAGTGACTGCTCCCAGGCTGACCTGTAAAACGTGGGCTGAGCTTTGCCCAGCAGCTCCGGAAATGACCTCACTAGGCAAGGCAAGAGCCTGTGGGAAAACTGTCAGCTCCTGGGCTGTGCAAACAGTGGGAGTGTGTATGCATTTAATGATAAGCTTTGAACACATCTTTAAACAGAACAAAGGGAAAGGACAAGAGCCACTTTCTTCAGCTGTGCAGCACAGAGCAGTTTCTTGCTGTCTGAGGAAAGGGGGCTCATAACGATGCAGTGTTGGTCTCTGCTGGGCTGAGAACCAGTAGCATTGAAAGAATCCCCTTGGAAAACTGGCTTGAGGTTACACATGCCCAGTCACCTGCTCGGAGATAGAAGACCACCAAGGAAGTCCGCTCCTCACTGTACGGGTACTGAACAGGCCTCCATGTCACTCAGGCTAATCTAATGAATCATTCAGCGTGAACTTCATAGTTCTTTTCTAGGTACATGACTTTTTCATGTGTGGCCTTGATGTTGGTTTGATGAGAGTAACAGGGAAACTTGCCATGGGTCCCTATGATCTCACTAAGGACACAGTTGAAAATCAACACTAACATACAATATACATGAGGCCTTTCTAAGAAGTGATTGTTTATGAAGCAAGGGACTGATGCCCAACACCCAAAGAAACTGAATCCATGACTCTTTCAAGAGAAGAAAGACCATTGCTGTGTAAGGTCAACTGGCAAAGAGAAAGGAGAAACGGCTAAGATCTTCTTTCCCCACTTTGGGTTCTGAGGCAGGTTTTATGAATTCGGGTGGACTTCTGGTGTGGGAAAATGTCACCAAGTCAAATTCTGACCGGGAGGCCAGAGCATCCATCTCCCTGGTCGACAGTCTGCTCTCTTCTCTGATTCCACTCATACTCTGGGCACCTGGACTCCAGAGGGCAGGAACATTGGCTCCAGGCATGGATGGAGGTTTAAGCCTTCCTCTTCTGCACATGCCCAGGTTACATGAATTTTTTTCTGTGTGTCAAGACAATCAGACATCCTATGGTTGCCAGCATCAAGCCAGTTAGCATTGCTTCTGTAGTTCTAGGAGAGTGAGACTCTATCCAGATATGGGTCATTGAACCAAATTCTGTACTAGGTTTTATTACCAGTACTGGAAAACTAAAGCAGTAAACAGCCTTTTGGGGTTTGCTAATCTGCTTTTCCCCATAGCTTGATTTGCTTCCTCCTTTACAATATTTAGAAACAATTGATTCATAGACACAGTGTCAGACATATCCATTGTTGGACATTGCAAGGGCAGAAGTGGGGGCGTTGGCCTAAAAACCCGGAAAAGTCAGTCTGAGCAGGGAAAAGGATCAAAGAACGTAAGGGCCACTGTTACACATTACCCATAAAGCAGAAGGTATTTGTTTATCTGCTCAACATCCACTAGCCACCTACTACTGCACTCAGCTCTGTGTCTTCCTTGTCTTACAGAGTGACCTGTGGTCTTTGGGAATCACCGCCATCGAGATGGCAGAAGGCGCTCCCCGTAAGTACCTGCCACTGCGGTGCAGTGTGCTGCTAGTCTGCCCTGCAGGCACCAAGGGCTCCTTGCCAGCACTGTAGTGGCTTTGCTTCCACTACACTGTGCCCTGCGTGGATTGGAGCTGGCAGCTTTCGAAAGTAGAGCCTTCTGGTCAACCAGGAACCCACCCAAAGCAGTGCAGTGCAGGCATCTTGTTTCAACGAGAAGGAAGGAGAAAGAAAGCCAACTGGCCAAGTCTGGGGGTATGGTACAGACCAGGCGTGCAGTTAATCTCTGAACGACCTTTCACCTCCCATAAAACTGACCAGCATACCCAGACTGTAGACTGTGACATCTGAGCAGTCAGAGTTGGTGGTCGGTCCCCTGGTTCTGCAAACACAGCCAGTAGCTGGCACCCCTTTTCCAATTATGCTCATCAGAAGTTAGTTGAGACAGAATGGCGAGGGCCTGGAGGCATCTTGAGAAGCTCTTGGGTTCCTGGAGTTCTAGAAAACTTGCCCTGGGATGGCTGTGAGAGTGTGTATCCAAGATGTCCACCCAGAAGGGGGAACTGGCTGAGGGGTCCAGCTTGCTAAATGGCTCTGCAGTTGCCCCTCCCAGGAGCACTGCCCATTGGTGGCTGAGTGGGGCACAAGGCACCAGGACAGACCCTTGCCTGGAAGATGCAGGAGTGCCTGTAGGCAGCTGCCACCCCAGTCATGCCCCAGGACTCTGCCAGCCTTGTTTGCACAAAGGGACACAAGGACTCTTGCACCTGCTTTTTTCCCCATGCTCCTGCCCTCAGGACCAGACCTGCTGTCTGTCCCTTTGATCCAAACATTCCCCAGCACATTCCTCACATGCTTCATGTCCCCTTGGTGTCTACTTTGCAAAGGATCAGGATCCAGATAGGCCCTTCATCTGCACGACAGGTCATCAATGCTCCTGTCTTCGCTCTTCAAGTTGTTCTGAGTTGGTGGGATTCATCAGTTGCATGATTGATTTTGAGTGTTTGCTGACAGTCTCCCTGCATTCACCATGCCAATAGGTATTTATGCATCAGAGAAATAATCCAATACACTCTTAAAAACCAGATTATAATTCTTGAAGAGTAACAGATAGGTATTAAAAATATGCTTCTGCCCACAGAGTCCCTGTGTTTTTCAGGGAGCACATAGTCTCATTCTAGGTACAAGGAAAAGATACCTACAGGTATTTAAAAAGTTAACTGATTAAATATTTCCATTAAAATAAGGTATGGCTGTGGGTTTTTTGTTTGTTTGTTTGTTTGTTTTGCTATAAATGATAATGTTAGGTTGACAAATTGAGACATTTGCATAGTACTGTTTTTCTGCCAGCACTGTTTAACCCAATCCTCTGCTCTTCTTGGGCCAGGGAATTGGTGAAGCTGAACACCCACTTGGGAGATCTAGAAACAGAGAGATGCTGTTTAGGGCTGGCACTTGGCACTGCAGAAGTCCAGATAAACAGCATGGCCTACATTGTAGCCTTTCAAATAGCTTTTATTTTATGGCTTAGGCTTTTGCTGAATAAAAATAATGCGCCATCCCCATGGCGGTGGTCCCTGATTTGACTGTCAGATGATTGCTTCTTGCAGACAGCTGGGGGCTGGCCCTCTTACTTTATTCTTGGAAGTGTAAAATGAAAGTGTGCTCATTGTCCAGGCTCACAGAATAACCCAAAACGGGTTGTATTTTATGAGACTGCTGTCATTGGATGAGCTCTGTGCAGTGCACACATTGTCGAAGCTTCTGGACCCTCTGAGTCCAGGCTCGCTGAGCGTATGTGAAGTCAGAGGGTTGTTGGCCGCGCTGGCCGCAGAGGCATCCCGGGCGTGGCCTGGCCTTGGCCTCCTCACTGGAGCTGGCTCTGCTTTTGGTCTCTTGCAGCTCTCTGCGACATGCATCCGATGAGAGCCCTCTTCCTCATCCCCCGGAACCCAGCACCTCGGCTCAAGTCCAAGAAGTGGTGAGTTTGCTCGTCAGTGTTCTGAAGACGGTCTGAGGGTGAGATTTTCCCATCATTCTCTTTCGGATGAGCTCCCATCCCAAGGACCTGCTGATGAGATGAGACTAACATGCACTGAGACTTGCTAGCTGGATTTCCATATGCTGTCACTCATTTAAATTGAGACTGGGCACCTAATATTGGTAGAGCAAGTCTTATCCTCATAGCTTCAAGGTAAGGTGGTATTAGTTACAATGGGTAGTGGGACCAGGTAATATATAGTGGCTCTTTAATTTATAAGCTCAAGTGATGCCTTTCCCAGCAGCATGGAGCATCTTAAAGGAGAGGGTGGTAGTTTGTAACATCATCCTATTAGATTGGTCCACTTCTGTTCTTTAAGACAGTAATTTCCTGGTTCTACTTGAAATGAATATGCCTGTAGCATGTGCACAACCATTTTTAGTTCTTTAACTCTTGCTTATTCTGGATGGCAGATACTACTACTGACTTATTATTTTGAACAGTGTTACAACATTTCCTTCTAATAAACATACTTTCCTACAAAGGTGACTAAAAGAAAATAACCAAATGAATACTAATTGAACAGCGTAAGGGTGTAGCAAAATTGTGTGCTTAGTGTTTGATTCCCTAAAGTTTGGGAAGCTGAGTTGAACAAGCTGAGGCAGATGTTCAACTTCTGGCTTTGTATTCTTGTATTGGGATCTCTGCAGGTTATCATTCTGTTGCAAAATCCATTGCTGCCCACTTTTCTATGGAAATGGTATAGCTTTCTTGCTACTTTTTGTTAATTATACATTTGAGAGACAGAGAAATGAAACTCTTCCATTGGCTGGTTCATTGCCCAAATGTGTGCAAAGTCTAGGGTAGCACGGTGGGGATAGGGGAGTCAGGAGCTCGATTTCAGTCTCCCCATGTGTGTGGCAGGCACCCAAGCTACTTGAGCCATGGCCGCTGCCTCCCAGGGTCTGCATTAGCAGGTATCTGGAGTCACCACCAGGTATTGAACCCAGGCCCTGTGATGCAGAGTGTGGGCATGCTAACCACTAGGTCAAATCTCCCACCCACCCCAAACCTGAAACAGGTTCTTGAAACTGATTATTCTTGCATCAGAGCCAAAATCTGCAGCCTCTTTTTCTTAGAAACAAATCCTGGAGAGTTATACCAGGAGGGCACCAGATGTTTCTTCCCCTTTCTATGCCCCTTGCTTTTACTCCCTTGTTCCCTGCACTTGGGGGTGAGCCTGGAATGTACAGAGAGAAGTCTTAATGAATGCACTGTGCAATTCTGGCTTAGCAACACCGGGGGAGCACAGGGAGAGAGGGAGACAGCCAGCCAGCAAGGAGGTGCCAGCCTCCTGGTTGCCATGCCGGGGAGGCAGACCACGAGTTGCTATTGGTGACAAGGAGCTGAGTGTTCATTGCCTGCTCCTCCTTCCTCTGAGAGGGTCACTCTCAGCGTTCTCTTCCCAGCAACAGCCTTCTACTGGGTACCGCATGACACGTGATCTGTGGGGCACCCCAAGACCCTGCCCCTCCCTCTCCCTGGGTCACATTCCCTGGGAGAGGAGCCAGCTCTTGCTCTCTCCCCGGAAGCCACAGAAACACTGCACGCCCACCTTCCCCCGGCTTCTGCACGTGCCGCCTGCTGGATGCCCAGCCTCCCCCTGCCCTGCCTTCTCCCCCTCTTTTTGTTGCTGCTAGGCAGATATTTTAAGCTTTTGCATGAAGACGGGCACTTTGGCTTTCTACTGATGCGTCTGGTTTGCTGGGTACAGTGTATAAGAACATTTGGGTCCATTGCCGGCACTTAGAAGCCAGGTGAGGGGGTGCCAACATTAGGTGTCTGCCCCTTGTTTGAGCCCTGCCCCACCACTGTGCTGAGTGGTTCTTCCGGGCTGGTATGCCGAAGGATTCGCCTCCTGCCCCAGTGGCCCATGGCACGTGGCTGGCACTGGCGCTGTTCCTGGCTTACCATGGAGAATAAGCTGCCCACTGTGCAGTCCACAGAAGAGAGGGTGAGTAGCACCTGCACTCACTCCCAAAAGGTCAACTCTGCCCGACTTTGCTTGGGAGATGCAGAGTCTAGGGGAAATGGGGGTCACTTTTCTGCCTTCAATCCCTGACAAGGACACCCGGTTCTGATGGTTCTGAGAGAAGCCAGAGGAGTGCGAGAGGCCAGGCCATCATGCCTCCTGCTCTTCACGCACCTGTGGCTGACTCACAGAACGCCAAGTGGGAGCCACGACAGAGGCCAACCCTGTGAAAGCGAGTGCAGCCATGAAGCCGGACTCCATGACTGTCTCCCACTTGGGTCCCAACTCGAACAGAGGAGGCGCTATGGAGACACATCACACCAGAGGATTCCAATTTTTACGTGAAAATATATATGCACTTGAGGGTGCCCCTTCTGAAACAACCAGGCTTTTTAACTTCAATAGGCTGTCATCACTTGGGAGGAAATAAAACATTTATTTTCCTTTTATTTAAAGTTCAATTTTTGTTTTATTTGAAAGGCAGAGAGAGGAGATGATCCATCTGCTAGCTCTGCTTTCCTATAATAGGCCCCAGTTACTGGGAGGAAAGAAAGCATGTTATTGAAAATCAGGCTTAGTTTTCACTTTATTTGAAAGACAGGAAAGAGATCTGCCATCTGCTGATTCATTCCTCAAGTGCTCACACCCGCCAGGGTGGGCCAGGCCAAAACAATGAACTGTGAGCTCTGCAGATCCCCCACGTCAGAGACAGGAGCCCAGCTAACCTGAGCGCATGCAGCAGGAGCAAGCTGAACTTGCTTGACCCAGGACTCAAGCCAGGCACTTGGGGTATTGGAGTCACCCAGGTACACATTAATCCCTGTGCCAACTTGTTGCACCTTCTTTTCTTTCTTTTTTTTTTTCTTGTTTTTAATGGAAGAACTTACACATCCCCTAAAATGTTCTCTAGTTTCCACTGTTCTTCACAAAGGGGTTGGCAGGTCAAGCACACGGTTCCCAAAGTGAACAGCTCACTGGGCCACCTTGGCAGAGAGGGAGGTCACAACCGTTCTCCAGGAAGGCCTTCAGTGGAGGCTCATTTGCTGCTGGCTCAGCACGGGCCACATGCCAGTCCCAGTGTGAACAGTTTCTTGCTTTATACCTTTACGGTTGGGAAGAGAAAGACTGCCAGGCGCACAGCGGGAACCCGGCTTTTCCACCCATGCTGAAGGAGTCGCGGGGCTGGGGCTAGGATGTCGCTGTGTGCCTAGGCAGTCAGCTGTGTCATAACGAGGCCCTGGGAGGGCTGTGGTCTTGGTGGGATCAGACCCTTTGTCTCTGTGTCCCAATCAGCCAATGAGCAGTGACCCTGGGGCTCCCATCTCCTCCTTCGGTCTCCCAGGGGTGGAGGGACTGGTCACATAGGGGCCACCATGTCCTTCCCGGAGTTCTTCATTTCTTGTCCCTCTCCGGCCCTGTAAGTATACTGAGGACCCCCTAGCAAGGGTTCCTGGGGAATGATGGGGATGTCTCGGCCCCCAGAAGCAGGTGGTCCAAAGCTGATCCTTTGACTCAGTAGACAAGTCCTAACTAGGCCCATGATGCACACCACCCCCACACCCCGACCACCCTCCCTTACTCCCCGACCCTTGTGGACTCACAGACACAGCTCGGAGGCTCTGAGTGGGAGAGGCCCGTCCCAAGCAATAAGGCAGCCTGGGACTGCCACCTGCTGCTGCCTCCGAGAGCCTGGGGTTACCCCGTTAGAAAAGGGAGTGCCAGTTCTGACTCTTGCTGCGTGGGCAGGTACTTTTGTTTTAAGAGATGACAATACTGTTTTGTGTAACGATAAGGCAAACAGATAGCAGAACATATTCCAACGAGACTGAACTTGTGGCTGTGAACTTGATTAAGATCAAAACAGAAACCGCTAGCCACACTTGTGAATCTAACCTGTTTTGCACAGTCTCCTCGGGGGCCCCAGACCTGGTGGCTCTTGTTGCTCACCAGTCTAAGCCAAACAGGTGTGAACTGATTTCCATGAAGAATTCTCTGCAGTCATGCACCACGTAGGAACGTGTGAGGCCACAGCAGACCACAGAGCCCAGCACTATTCTCCTTGTAAGAGGATATGACCATGGGATGCTATGACCGTTTGGGACACACAGGTGAGCTCTATGATGCCCACACAGCAATGAAGTCACCTCTTAGCAACACATTTCTCAGGGCACTGAGCAACACATGCACGCACACACTCAGCTCCACTAACGAGGTGGGGAGAGAGGCAGCTTGAGGTTTCTGTTCTCCAATCCGAAAGGCAGGTGTAGGTGCAGAGAGGAGCAGGGTGCGGTCATCGCGGTAACACCCATAGCAATAATAGCAAGCACGCATCCAGGTCCTAGGAGGACAGGTGCTGTTCTAAGCATTTTACCTGAGTTCCTCATTTCTTCATCAGTGAAGTCTCCTGAGATGAGTTCTGATAACATTATCAGTTGCAGTCAGGGAGGCTAAGGCCCAAAGTCAAAAATGGGAGGGCATGGAGTCCCAAGGAGAGAGCAGATGGAGCTGGACTGAACGGTCATGTTGTCTCTGGGGAGTCCGATGATTACCAGGAACTTTCAGCCCAGCTGGTTATAACGGTGACTGTAATGGTCCTTAAGACATAGTGAAATCTTCCAACACTGTTTAACATATAAACAGGAACATTCTGAAAGGATAAAGAGCTTAGTGACCCTGTCAGTAGAATTAGTGCCCGGTACCATAGGCACCAATCATTAACATTTATCTCTTCCTGCCAGCCAACCCTAAGGAAATTAGTGTTACCAACAGTAGGGTGGCTTTTTTTTTTTTTTAAGAGACAAATCGAATTAATCAGTAGCAAAGAGTCAAGCAATAAACTTGCACAAATGGACTTTAAACCCAGTAGAACACCGGCAGACAGTTGAGTTGAAGTCAGCATGGCTAAAATATTTTCACATTTAATTAAATAAGCATGTTGATTTTCTTAGTCACCATAGATGAAGCAAGAGGCAATGCATCCTTCCTTGGAAGATGTGTTTTAAGAAAAGAAGCATTATTCTCTCTTGTCACAGTGCTATGTGAGGAAGTAATGAGCTACAATACCTGCCCCGTGGGCCCGTGGGCTGGCATAGGGGCCCTGGGGCACAGTGGGCATCCGTCCTCCAGGACATGCCCGGGGGGCGGAGTGGCTGGCCCATGGCTTAGCTCCCAGTGCTGTCCCGTCCCCGAGCTCTGGCTCCTTCTTCTGTCTCACTGTACGTCTGCATTGTAGTTTTCAGTTGGATATGACTTAGGTATCGTCCTCTGTTGAGGTTGCATATTTCATAAAAAAAAAAATCACAAACTGGTTGCTGGCAAGAAAAGGAGGACCTCTATTTGCATTCCTTGTGCATATCTAATAGCTTTGTGTCAACCTACTTTTGTTCTTTTCAAAAAACATTCACTGATGGAATTGGAAGGCACAGACGGAATGGGAGAGAGAATCTCTTTGATTGTCTGGCTTGGTCCCCTACATGGCTCCTACAGCCAAGTTGGGCCAGGCTGAAGCCAGAAGCCTGGAACTCCATCCGGGTCTCCCACGTGGCTGGCCACCTCGGCAGCCTTCCAAGGTGCATGTGCAGGAAGCCAGTCAGAAGCAGAGCAGCTGGAACCAGCTGAGTGTGATGGGACGCTGCGGCACCACAATGCCTTTTAATTATTATATTTTAAATACTGATTTTCTACCTAGAAATTCACAGTGTATTTTTTGACTGTTTTCTTTTTTTCATTTTCATTTTAATTAGCTTTTTAAACAAATTCCGTGCTATTTGTAGATAGACTTCTAAGAACATAATGATGTTTTCTTCTTCCCTTCCTTTCTCCTCCTTCCTGTTTGCGATTGAACCCCACCCTCTGTAGTTTGCTCCTAAGCAGAGGATTTCCTGGCAGTTTATTCTTGCAAGGCGGGAATCATTCCCATCTACCAGCACAGAAGAGCTGAGAACAACAATCTGGGCTCTCCAAGCTCCCCGCTGCCCCTCACAAACCCAAGCTGGAAGGAGTGGTGGTGCAGCTCTTACCCAGAGCTCTCAGCCAGCCAGCACACCAGGCGCTGCAGGGGGCGGGGTACCCATGACACTGCCTGGGCTCCTCCTCCACAGTGGGTGGGAATGCAGAGCTGGAAGTGGGAGGGACAGGGCTGAAGGACAGCCGCCTCCGTGTGCACTTGATGAATCCCAGGTAACTCGAAGCACAGTATGTCACCTTTCCTCCTATTTTTAAATGCTTCAACATGGTTTGGAGATAGAGAGCGGAGACAGTGCCGATCATTCCTCTAAAAACATGGACAGAGGCGAGGAAGTGCTTTGCCCTGAGCAGAATTAGAATTGTGCACGCATCACTCAAGATGTGTTTGAATCTTTTTTTAAAGATTTATTTTTATTATTTTTTCATTGGAAAGGCGGATATACAGAGAGGAGAGACAGAGAGGAAGATCTTCCGTCCGATGATTCACTCCCTAAGTGAGCGCAACGGGCCGATACTATGCCGATCCGAAGCCAGGAGCCTCTTCCGGGTCTCCCACGCGGGTGCAGGTTCCCAAAGCTTTGGGCCGTCCTCGACTGCTTTCCCAGGCCACAAGCAGGGAGCTGGAAGGGAAGCGGGGCTGCTGGGATTAGAAATGGCGCCCATATGGGATCCTGGGCGTGCAAGGCGAGGACCTTTAACCACTTGCGCCACTGCGCCGGGCCCGATGTGTTTGAATCTTGAAGAAACTCCCTTGCCTACTGTATACTGAGCAGTCTGGACTTTTGGAGCCTAAAAGTTGTGTTTGCACCATACTTACACAGATGGCCTGTTGCAAAGCATGGGCCAGACTTACTGTTGGGATCCACTTCTGTAACTCTACAGTGCACCACACGAGGGAGACAGAGAGCACACAAAAATACATCTCACCAGCTGAGAGTGACCCAGGTTCAGCCAAGGTCTTTAATCAGATGGGGTGTGAGCACGTGAAGCACTGAGCTGTCAGGGAGAGGCACGCTGTGGAGTCATAAGCTTAATTATTTATGACTCCAGACAATTTTTTGGAATGTTCAGCTGCAATATCTGTGCCCAAGTAATGAATGCAGGCTAAAGTCCACCTTTGGTTTCTACCACCTGGTGGTGCACCTGTTGCCCCGGTAAGGTGTCACCGCACACTCTGTCCCTGTGTGCATGCCGCATGGGCTGCAGTAGTGTCTCCCAGGGGCAAGCAGTCCTTCACACTGTTATTTCCCAGAATGTGAATTGGAATCACAGGTTGAAGTTCACAGAATCCCAAGTCCCTTTGGCATGTGGCATGTCTGATCAGTTTTAGAAGTCCTTGCCTTACCCATCCAGCTTTGGTTTCCCTACCGTGTTCTTGCTACTTGCACCCGCATCACGGATCGCCCACCTGTTGGAACCAGCCTTTCTCGGGGCATGTTGTCTCATTTTGAAAGCCCAGCTCTGGCCTGTATGCTCCAGTGATGCTCATGGGGGGTCTTTGCCTTTTGTCTTGGTGTTTTGTGAGCTGTCATACACGAATTCTACACAACTGTTTTCTTGTGTGTGGCTCCCACGTGTTCGTGGTGATGATGCATGGTCGTATCCCACAGTACCTATTCTCCAATTGCTTGGACCATTTGCCAGTGACCAGGATACATTTTTTTAAAAAAATTCTACCCTTGTAGGAAATAATGGGTTTACAGTTTAATGGGTCTTTGTCTCATCTCTGGTTTCATGTTTCTTGTCTGGCAGGTCCAAGAAATTCCAGTCGTTTATTGAGAGCTGCCTGGTGAAGAACCACAGCCAGCGGCCAGCCACAGAGCAGCTGATGAAGCATCCGTTTATCCGAGACCAGCCTAATGAGCGACAGGTGCGCATCCAGCTCAAGGACCACATCGACAGAACCAAGAAGAAGCGGGGAGAGAAAGGTGAGAGGCACATTTGTATCTCAGCAGAAGAAGCTAAAGATGCATGGGGCCTGGGCTCCTGCTGTTTGGAGCCTGTACCATCGGGGTTGCAAAGGGGGCTGCTTCTCACGTGGCAGCCCGGAGCATCGGACTGAGTGAGGCAGCTCAAGCGGCTCGCTCATGAAATGGCAGAACTACCAGAAGCAGTTCCAGGCACTGAACAAAGTCATGTTCAGCAATACTATGAGGTACTTTCCTAAGAGAAGTGATTCTCTTCATTTGAATGAATATTCATGTACAGATACTAAAACATGTGCAGAAGATACACATTGGGAAAGAAGATCCGTCGAGCTGACATGTCTCTGACAGTCTGGCATTCGAGGCTGCGTGCTCTGAGACTCATTTCTCCTTCAGTTCTTTGGAAGCCAGAGGGCATTTCCTTCCAGTTGCAGAGATAGAAAAGGCTGTTCGTTGCCAGGCTTGCCACATGGCGTGTCACATTTGAGCTGAAGGTCGTTTAATATGCCTCTTTTATTTTACAGATGCGAAAGCATCTCTGATATCACTCTCAGTCTTCTTCAGCGCTGTCTTTTCATGGTGTCATCAGCAGGACACGAGTCCAAACTAGAGTCCTGGGATTGAGAAGCGTTGGTGGGGCAGCATGGCAGGTGGGATTGGACTGGAGGGGTCAGGTCAGCGGAGGACATGGAGAGAGAGGTCCTCAATGTGAAGGGTCAGGGACCGAGTGATGGCTGCATCCGTCGGAGTCTGCAGGCGAGAGGTGTATCTAGGCAGGCTCAGGGGCGAGGTGTTCTGACCTGAGCCCAGAGCAAGCCCACCTGCGATTGTTAGTGGGAGGGCAGGGATAAACAATCTTCCCCCCCCCCCCCCCCCACACACACACACACACACACACACACACAAACAAGGGGCTGGGAAAACTAGGCCTGAGGACAAATGGGGAAATCAAGGCCAGAAGGTCTCAGAACTGATATTATGTCTGTTTTTCACCCATGATGTTCCTGGATAAACTCTTCGAAGTCATCATTTTTCAGAGACTTTCTAGGCAGTATCAGACATACAACCATTAAATGCCAGCTTCTCTTCAAAAGGAGGTTGTATCAGACCATGGGTAGCCAGAGTGGACCAAGTGCTCCCGGTCTGTTTCCAGACTCCAGCTGTGGTTCCACCCGGATCGCTTAGCTGAAACTGCACTGCAGTTTTCCACTCTTTGAACTGGGATTGGAGGTCTAATCACACTACACTCTGTAGCCAAGTGAAAATGACCCTGTCGTTGTGAAGCCCGAGTCCTCCGTTCGGTGCCTGGTCCCCCGCTGCCCACCCCCCTTGGTCACTCTTCACCCGACCCATGATGTCTTCATAGTCCCCAGGCACACTGCCTGCTCGGGGCCCACCTTGCCCTCACTTGTAGCTGTGGCTCAAACTTATGTTTCACGTTGCTTCCTGTGTGGGGCACACACTCTGGAATCTAACTCAGAAACCCTCATGCCGTGAAGATCCGTGGCGTCAATCCATTTGTTCTCTGTAGCATGCAAAAGTACGATGCTTGATGCCGGTGTACTCAGGAGTTTGGGAGCCATGGAGGGACGCCCGGCCTGTTAGGCTGAGGTCACCAAGACAGCTTGGGTGTCATTGTTGTCTGCTTCCCAAGGAATGGTTCTGGCTGGCGTGGGATCTCATTGCATCTGCGCTTCGATCACACGATCTATTTGCTTCCTCATACCTCAGCTCTCTCTCGACTGACTTTTGGTAGGACCAAGCAGTATCACTTTTCATTGCTTCTTGGTTTATTTGAAAGGGAAAGACAGAGAAGGAGTGCCTCATCTACCTGTTCACTCCCTAAAGGACCCCAACAGCCCGGGGGCTAGGCCAAATCGAAGCAAGGGCCTGGGGCAGCATCAGCGGGACAGGGGCTCTTGAGCCATCTTCTGCTGCTTGCTCACTGATAGAGAGCTGGGTTGGAAGTGGAGCAGCTGGGATTCAAACTGGCCCTCAGATAAATGATGCTGGCACCCCGACAGTGGTTTAATGTGCTATGCCATCACACCAGCATCAGCTGTATGTTTTCTTAACCTTACATTTCTTTCCTTAAGATATGTTGACCCATGCTAATTTAATCCAGTAATATAACAGCAATCAGATCCAATTCAAGTGGATTATGAAAATTAAGGTGTCTGACATAGGATGGGTTTTATCCTGGAGATAAGTAACTGGAATAAGTGTATGCTTCTTTTTCTTGCCATCATTTTTCCTTCTAAGATGAATCTTCTGCATGTTTTTACTTTGCACTCTCTGGGTATCCCTTCAGGAGTCTAGTGTAAAGCTTTCAGTATCGAGTATTAGAGCCCTTCACACAGGTTCCTTACATTTGGGCAAAATAATAATTTTAAAAGTAAGTAACTCAAACATCACCTATATCTAAATGTACGAAGGTCATCTGTGATTTAAAAAAATATGCTCGAACTCATCATCCTTTAGTGGTTGAATAGCATGGAAGTCGCTTGGCATGGTTGTCAAACCTGAATCACACGGTGTGACTGCCGCCTCCTGGTGGCAGTGTAGCAAAATTGCAGCCTCCAGGTGGTAACTACCAGGGCCCAGCTGTGAACAAGCAGCAGTGAGATTGTCCCTTGCTTGCGAGGTACCTGCAAGGGCCCCTTCTGGCCCACAATGCAGCATATACAAATGTCAAGAAACCCTTCCTCGTTTCTGGCCCTTCTCTTTGGTCTCTTTTGCCTGCATCCTGTCACAGCCCATTAACTGCAGAACAGGCCAAGCACTCCAGTTCTGCCAGCCTGACTCAGACACCTCACAGTCTGTGATGCAGGGTGGAACTGTCTATTCCCTCTCTAGCCGATGCTGTTTTGTGTACTGCTGGTTCTTGCATGATACATTGGAAAGAACAATGGTTTTGAACTTGGAAAATTTGTGGGTTGAATTCTAAATGCAGATCCCTGATTGGTCTTTTATTAGTGTGATGACATTGGACGTAGCTCTTTAGCCTCTTGTAATCTGAATGTTATTGATGGAAAAATCTGAGGTTTCAGAGGAATGCTATGAGAAGTAAATGAGAAACTACAGGTAAAGAACTTGACACCAATAGCCAGCACTGGAAAGTCCCAGCACTGTCCCTCAGAACCACGGGGCTCATTGGTTAGCCATCCCACCTGATGGAGACCGATCTCCAAGGCCAGGGCTCAATCATACTCATTTTTACGTGAGAACTTGATGAACGCTATACCAAAATAAGTGAATGTCCCTGGTGGGTTACTCATCCCTAGTTATAACCATGAGTCTTTGAGAGATATCCAAAGTTTCTGTCTGGAATTTCTTGAGATCTTAAAAGGGCTTTTCTGATTTGAAATGATGAGTCATTCACTGATTCATTCGTTAGTAGTAGGACTGCAAGTTTAACATGGTGGCTTTATAATAGGGCTTAACCCAGACAAAAAGCTCAGCTTCGGCTCCTTGTCTTTCCACACGAACAGTAGGCACCTGGGACGGATTCCTGGAGTCGGCTGCTGGAAACAGCTGCAGCAAGTGCGGTGGCCCCGAGCTCATCCCAGCTCAGTGCTGCCCACGGCTCTGTGCCTCAGGTCACTCAGGACAGCCGTGTGCCCCACAGCAACAGGAATGCATTCTCAGACCAGCAGTGTGGGTCATCTTACGGCACACCAACATCATGCGCTCCAGCTACTTGCAGCTGACCGGTAGTGGCCAGCTCCAGACAGCGTGGCCCATCGGTCCAGGGAGGACACATGGAAAACCCAAGAGGTGTGAGGATGCTTTTCAAAGCTCATGGAAAATCAAAATAGAAGATAAATGTATCTTGGTGCAGAAATATTTTGAATCTTAACATAGTGCTTTCCTAGTGTCTATTTTCCATAAACTTTTTAAAGATTCTCACTGGGCATGAATTTCAGCAAGTTTTTGTGCTAAGATAAGGTCATCTTTTAATTGTTTTTTGCCATGAACTTTTTTCAAGTTCCGAGATGCAGTGACTGCCATTAGCATAACATGGTATCCTGCTTTACAGTGAATTTTATTTTCAATAAGGAGGAATAGATTCTCACATAACAGTGGAAAAAAAACAACAGCTTAGTAATCACGAGCCCCAGTAACGCAGCCACAAATCCTGAATTGTATGAACTTGACTTTCGCACAAACAGCAGTCCGTAGTTGGTTGATATGAGCAGCACCATGCGTCGTGAGGGGACAGCGGTGTTTCACTCCATCACAGTCTTCTGGGCCCACCGTCACATAAGCTGCCTGCCACATAGCCATGACCTGTGACCTGTGACCGCACGGGTGGGAGGGGTGGGACTGAGCCCAGCATCTTCCGTCACTGACACTCCGCGTCTCTTCCCAGATGACACTGAGTACGAGTACAGCGGAAGTGAGGAAGAGGAGGAGGAGAATGACTCGGGGGAGCCCAGGTATGACAGCAGCGGCCAGCTGCCCCAGTTTCCAGGCTGCTGGCTGGGTCGTCTGGCACCTGCTTCACCTTTGATTTACAGACTTGTTTCTCGGGATCCAACGGGGTGTCTATTTAATTTACGACCCATGAAAAGATGAATCTGGGAAAGTTTTCTGGAGGCAGATGCTTATGAAAATGTGAAAAATCATCCAGTTCTTTATCTTGTCTTCCGTGATGCATGGCTACTTCTCTAAATGTTGTTGGCTCACATCGTAACAGAGTGGGCAGGAGGCCACTGTCCAGGTGGTGCGGGACTCAGGGGACTTAGAGCTGTGACTAGCCGGACACCTCTGTGCATCTCAATTTGAGCAGCTCCGTTCTTTATTTTGTACCTGGGAGGAACCCAGGCGAACATGCCTGGGTACCCTCACCCCAGCCTGGCAGAAACTACCGTGCCGTTGCTGCTGTCAAACGCTGGACGCCCGAAGCCAGAGCCGCTTTCCCCGTGGTCCTCCCTGCCTCTTGGACTCTTGGCTCTTCTCTGGTGCCGGTGTGTCTGCTGGGATTTTTTTTTCTGGTGAGAGTATTCAGCCAGTGGCATACAGGCCACGGTGTCACTCACTGTAAACAGGAAGCTGCAAGGCCAAGGCTATAACCTAGCAGCAAAGCCAATGCCAGCAGCAGCAGCGGCATCCCATAGGGGCACCAGTATGAGTTTCAAGTGCTCTACTTCTGATGCAGCTCTCTGCTCATGTGCCTGAGTAAGCAGCAGAAGATGGCCAGATCCTTGGGTCCCTCTACCCCTGTAGGAGACCCAGAAGAATCTCCAGGCTCCTGGTTTCAGATTGGCCCAGCTGTGACTGCTGCAGCCATGGGAAGAGGAAGCCAACCAATGGAAGATCTTACCTTCTCTTCCTATAACTCTGCTTTTCAAGGAAATCTGTAACAAAAAAAACTGTGTTGAGTACACGAAGCAGACAAGGTCATGGGCTTCTCTGAGAACCTCATCCTCCTACCCTCCGCAGAACAGAGCCTGATGCTCCAGGAGAAGGACTGCTTCCTATGCAGGTGGAGCAGAGCCTGCCAAAGCAAGGAAGGGGCCAGCATCGCCTCTGATGCTGGGACAGCTGGCACGCCCTAACTCATACCCACCAGGCTGCAGCAAGAGGGTGGGACTCAGCTAAGAGCACCATCTCGCATTCTCTCTTCGCCTACCCTAGGGTCTCTCAGACTCAAAGATCACAGCAACTTTTTCCTTGCATCCGATACGTAGAGCATCCGCTGCCCCCGGGTCAGCTTCGTGAAGGGGATGACTGCCAGCACAGGTGTGGACAGTGGGCCTTCCTGTGAGGCGAAGGACAGAAGGCCTGCCGTCAGAGCTGCAGCCTGGCTCCCCCAAGCCTGGCCTTGACCACCTGCAGACCAGCTTCTGTGGAGCCGAGAAGCCTTGTCTTTCCAGTCCTCGCTCAACTGCGTGTTGGCAGTCACACAGGGTGCCAGCCTGTCCTCACCCTGCTGCCTGTGCTGTGCCATCACATTGAGGGTTAAGCGCTGAGTCCTTTTTCTCTGGCTACATCGAATGAGTCTTCAAACTAGAATAGGAACGTGGTCATCTCACTTTTTAAGGCTTTTTTTTTTTTAAGATTTCTTCATTCAGAAGATGGCATTGGAGCTGGCAGTGCAGGACAATGGGCTAAGCTATTGCACGCAAAGCCCGTGTCCAGGATGAGCGCTGCTTCGAGCCCCAATAGCTATTCTACTTCTTTTTTTAAAAAAAAAATTTATCTTATTTTTTTTTGTTGGAAAGCCAGATAAACAGAGAGAGAGAGCGAGATCTTCCATCTGTTGATTCATTCCCCAAGTGGCCACAATGGCCAGAGTTGTGCCAATCCAAAGCCAGGAGCCAGGAGCCTCCTCTAGGTTTCCCATGCGGTTGCAGGGCCCCAAGGCTCTGGGCCATCCTCAACTGCTTTTTCAGGCCACAAGCAGGAAGCTGGATTGGAAGTGGGGCAGCTGCAATCAGAGCCAGTGTGCATATGGGATTCCTTCCTATGCAAGGCGAGGACTTTAGCCGCTAGGCTACTACACCAGGCCCAGCTATTCTACTTCTGATGCGGCTCCCTGCTAATGTGACTGGGAAAGCAGCAGGTTACGGCCCAGGTATTTGGGCCCCTGCACCCTTGTGGGAGACCTGGAAGAGGCTCCTGGCTCCCAGTTTTGTCCTGGTCCAGCCTCAGCTATTGTCATTTGAAGAGTGAGCTAGCAGATGAAAGATCTATCTCTTTCTTCTTCTTCTTCTTCCTCTTCTTCTTTTTCTTCTCTCTCTCTCTCTCTCTCACACACACACACACACACACACACACACACACACACACACACACATACCTCTTCTGTCGGCTGGTTTCCATCCATCCCCAAATGGCCCCAACAGCTAGGTCTGAGCCAGGACAAAACCACAAGCCACAAGCCTGCATCTCAGTTTCAGTAACAGGAGCCCAGGCAATTGGGCCACCATGCGTTGGCTTCCCAGGCAAATTGGCAGGAACCTGGACTGGAAACAGGAATAGGTGAGGCTAGAACAGGCGCTCCCATATGTGACACTGGCTTTGGAAATGGCAGCTTAAGCCCCTGTGCCACAATGCTGGCCTGGTTCAGAAACGAAGTGACAACTAATGTGTGACAACCAGGTTACACACAGAATTCATGATGGAGTTCCTGATGCCACTTAGACTTGACCTTGAGGCTACACCAGTTAACAGCATTGGGCATCCTTGTGTGAGGCTGGGTTCCCAAGCCCCATCATCTTTGCCCAGCACCAGCTGATGAGTTGGGTTTGTTTCGGAGGTTACCACACGGGCAGACCAGTGCCCAGGCTGGACTCCAAAGACTGTCAGAGATGTCAGCAACTCTTTGCATGGCACTCAGCGACAGTGCTTCACACGGCACATCAGCCACACCCCAGGCCCATGCTGGATCCTTTCGCGAGCTGTGCATCAGACTGCTCATCCAGCCCACCCCCCCTTTCCTACTCCCACCCCTCCCAGAACTCAGATTGCCACGACCCTTGCCCCACGGGAATTCTGATGGCTGTCTCTGCCCACAGCTCCATCCTGAACCTGCCCGGGGAGTCGACGCTGCGGCGGGACTTCCTGAGGCTGCAGCTGGCCAACAAGGAACGCTCGGAGGCCCTGCGGCGGCAACAGCTGGAGCAGCAACAGCGCGAGAACGAGGAGCACAAGAGGCAGCTGCTGGCCGAGCGCCAGAAGCGCATTGAGGAGCAGAAGGAGCAGCGCCGGCGGCTGGAGGAGGTGAGAACCCGGCTGTGGCCCCAGCACACCGCCGTCCCCCAGTGGGGACTGCCACGCGTGACCTTTCCAAAGCTCCTGTTGCCTTCACACACACACACACACACACACACACACACACACCATCCATCCATCCATCCATCCATCCATCCATCCATCCATCCTTGCTGCCATCCATGGGAAACCACATGGGCTGCTCCACTTTCCCATATGGCTGTCCTGGCTGGGGGTCATCACCCTTGTGTCCCTACAGATGATCCTTCTCCATCCTTGCCCTTGCCTGTGAGGCCTCCATCCTCTGCCAGCTCCATCCAAAAGCCTCTAGACAATTAAGAAATGAAGAGAACGGAGAGTGTGTAGCTGTTGACCAAACTCGGTGGCCAACAGAAGGTTCACCAACTGCACAGGAAAAGGTTGGGGCTTTCACAGGTTCCCACAACAGAACAGTGGCCTGCCGCACGTTGATGAAATTGCAGTAATTGCCTCACTGGGCCAGAAGGCCCCCGTGGAGCTAGAGGGCAATGAATCCTTGGGGCAAGTTGCTTGCTCAGTGGCACATCAAGGTGTGGACCCCTGGTTTATGTCAGCAAGGGGCTCAGTTCCAGTTTGCAGAAAAACCCATCTCCTCATTGTGTCTCTACAATTTTAGTTTCAGACCAGCAATGATAATACCAGGAGTGGCAATTACTGAGTGATCTCTGTGTGCCAGCTACCAGGCAGGTGGCTTTGCTTATACCCATTATCTCATTGTCTCTGGGCCTGTGTCCATGACCTCCGTGCAAAGGATGCATTTAGCAAAGTGGCTCCAGGAAGGTACTGGTCCCTGGTGCAGGGCTGGCTGGTACAAACTGAGGAGTCACACCCTGGCTGCCCTTAGCCCAGTGCCCATGTAGGCCTTCCTAAGACAAAAAGAGGAGGTGTGCCAGGCATCCTTGAACTGTAACCCTGAACCTTTCGGGCTTCTGGCAGCAGTAGCAGGCAGTGACACACTTGTTCAAGCAGTGTGAAGAACGCTGGGCACATGCGAGGTTGGAAGGTCCCCTCCTGTCTTGGCACAGAGAAGCTGAATTCAAAAGCCAGTTCGATTGTGGTGCGGTAGTCAGCAGCTCCAGGAAGTCTGTACAAAGTGCAGGAACTGTGGGTGTTGGCATGACCTCTGATCCTTTGCCAAGCACACACTGAGACCACACGGGCCCATTGTGGCCTCTCATACTGGTCCACGCCCAGGGCCATGTAGAGTCCTGTCCCTCGGGGCTCTTGAGGACTCAAGGCCTTTGTCATTCAAGTTCAAGGCCTACTGCTTTGGACTTAAGGTTGAACCTGTCTTCGCCACCCCACCTTCTCTGCTTTTGCCCTATCTGCTGATTTATTCCTTCTAAGAATATCTCCCCAGATCCCATGCACCCTAACTCACTGGAGCACCATATCCTGCAAACCTTGACCATGTGTAGCTTTTCCATGCTTGCAATAGCTGGGTCCAGGCCCAGGGAACTGTACTTGGCTTCAGGCTACAGACACGTACGCTGGACCACCTGGGGAAGATCCCACTGTCGTACCCCTAAACCTGTAAGACAGTCATGAATGTACATATGAGTTTTACACACACAAGAATTTCCTTATGGGAGAATTTCAACACAAGAGCTCTTGGCCTGTGGACCTAAATCCTGTTAGAGCGAAGGCTTTTTAGAAGCTGCTTATTCAGTGTTTCGGTTTTGTCCTCTTTGTACCTGGCATGCAGTATTTGAGTATCAAGTCATTGAACAATACTTGCACATGGTTGCGAAGCACTTAGCACGGGCCAGGCACACTGCTCAGTTCTCCTGCGTATGTGCTCATTTAGTCTTTCTAGTAATCGCTAGTCTGAAGGTAGCAGAGCTGAGGCCTCAAGTGGTTAATAACTTGCCCAGAGTCAAGTGCTTGAGAACAAGGCAGCTGTCCAACCCGGAGGATGAGGCCACGGAGCCCAGCACCACACCCTGGCTGTACTGTGCCTCTGGGCCGGTGAGCCTCACTACCATCGTTTGCCTTGACCATCACGGGGTTTCTGAGCAAGGGCAGAGAAGCTGTGTCCAGCAAGCACTCATCTCTGAGCTGAGTTCTGTCTCATGCTTGTAGTAGGGGCTGCTGCCAAGGCCCCCTCTGTGACTCTCCCCTTGTGGCTTTTCCTGATGTTGTGTCATGGACACGATTTGAGTTCATCTAAGTGAGGTCTGTGTATTTGAGTTCATCTAAGTGAGGGGTCCTGACTCGCATAGAAGGCATTGGGAAGGACCCCTGGGCACTGATAGATTGGGTCAGCTTTAGTCTTGGGTCTTTTAGTTAGCCCAGTAGCACACTGGAGAAGAAAAAGAAATGCTAACTCCTAAGACAGCTATAGGTTCTGAACCCCTGCACCCACATTCTGTTCCCATTGGATCCCTAGGTATGCCTCCTTGCCCTGGGCTGTGGTGGTTGCTTGTTTTCAAGGATCCCGAGAAGAAACCTGGATGGCACTGTCACACAGAAAGAGCTCGGTACCCAGAGCTTCACTTTGCAGGCTTTTTAGGCATCTGGGAGATACATTCTTAGTTCCAAATACAGGTTCTTTAACTACCACTTGGGCAGTCAAGGACTGTGTGAATGACACCCTTGGGGTCAGGTGAGCTCAGAGGTCTGAGGAAGCCCTGCACAGCATTTGCTATTTATGGGCAGCCACGTGGACTGGGCAAGGGCCTGAGTCAGTGTCTGCACGTTCTTGGAAGGACTTCGGCTATACCCAAACGTTGGCATGTATCAGCTTTTCACAAAGGATGTGGCAGCAGGCCAGTTACGTCGTGGAGATAAACTGAGCTTTTGACCAGTGATAAGTACAATTTCGAACGAACTTCCAGGAATGAGATTCAGGCCAGTGAAGGTGAAGGAGTCTGTCCGGAGTGAGTACACAGCCTCTTCTGCTGCTACTTGCTCCTAGCATTTTTCCTTCTTGGCCTGCACAGAGCATAGCTGGTGCATTCCAGGTCAGACCAAGCTTGAGCAGATTCATGGTAAGTTAGGGACCTGCTCAAGATTTTTCAAATCGTATCAGAGTGTCCTATACCTTCAAGTCCAGGTTGTAAATCACATTGACACAAGAAGCACCAGCCTGCTGCATGGAGGGAATTAAATTCTCTCTAGAGAATGCTTCAAGCCACTGAGATCTCATTTGTTGCCCTTCCAGGTCATCGTAACATTGTCCAATTATGAGAGCAACCTGACCTGAATAAACACACAACTTTGATTCCATTACCTGGAGTTTTCAGAAAGAGCATCAACACTTCTATCTCATTGCCAGTAATGATGGACAGTAATGTACAAAATACAGTCCTCAGGGAAAACTGTGAATTCCCTGGAAGCCTTCAACTTTGCTATTGTGAATGAGTTACCAGAGCTTTCAGGGGGGCGTTGGGCCCAATTTTCTTGGTGAAAGGGAGCGTAGAGTTAGATTTTTCTCTTACGTCTGTAGGCAGGTGGGCAGTCACCAAATGCTTGGTGAATTCCTTCATAGTGTAGGCATGACACTGGAAATGCAGGAACCCTGTCAGAGACTAGAGTCATGCGGAAAATGGGAGCTAAGTGAGCCAGAAAATGCAGTTCTGTGCTAGATGGGTTCAGCTGCAGGAGGGGAGAAGGGCACCTGGAGATGCTGGAGGGGATCGCCAAGGGGCTCTGTGGGCCAAGCGCATTACCTTGGGGTCTTACTCTAAGAAGCATGAGAAACCACTGCATGTTTCTACCATGGGCCTATGCCCCCCCCATTTGCCTTGTGAAAATCAAACTTTGGCTTCTGCAAGGAACGTGATTGAAGACAACAGGAATGGAAGGAAAGATCAGTAAGGTCAGGCCGGAGTGGGTTATGCATGGAGTGGACAGTGCCCAAGTGGGGCAAGAGCTGTTGGACACGTGGGAAGGAGCTTCGGCCGGTGGAAGATGCAGGACAACGTGGGTGCTTAGATATCAGAGATGAGGTGGCAGTCGCACAAGGGTCCCACAAGGGTGACGCCGTGGCATAATAGGCTAGGCCTTTGGCATCGGCATTTCATATGGGTGCCAATTCATGTCCTGGCTGCTCCACCCCTCCCCCTTCCAGCTCACTGATTACAACCTGGGAAGGCAGTGGAGGATGGCCCCAGTCCCTGGGACCCTGAACCCATATAGGAGACCTGAAAGAAATTCTTGGCTTCCTGTTGGCCCAACTCTGACCATTTTAGGAGTGAGCTAGTGGATGGAAGATATCTCTGTGTCTCTCTTTCACTTTGTTACATCTACCTTTCAAATAAAAATCAAGTAGGTCCTAAAGAAAAAGAGGAGAGGGTCCTAAAATCAGACTAGAGTATCAGGCTTAGATCAACTCAGAACGAAATGAGAGCAAGACGTGTGTGAGGCAGCCAGGGGTAATGGTCAAGTGCCATAGAATTCCACAGAGAGGGGCAAGAAAGAGAGGCAGACAGAGCAGTAGGATGGTTTATTTATGGCAATGGAAGTTTGCATTGAGAAGGGAAGAAACTCCAAGGCTGAGGATTTAGAGCAGGGAAGGAAAGGCCAGTGAGAAAACGTGATAGGAATGAGGGGAGAGTCTAGTACAGTGGAAACAAAGATAATTGAGGATTCAAGCACAGGATGGCACAAAAGTGGACAGGCTAGCTCAGTGGCAGGTTGCCCGGCGGCCGAGGACAGCATCCTGTGGCTTCAGTGACAAGGTGTTCAGCAGTGCTTTCTGGAAATACTTTCATTTCCTCTCTCTCGGGGGAGGCAATGCCGTCTGCTCAGAAAGTTAGATCTTCATTGGAATGGACAGGGGTGTGTTTGGATTCCAGGGCTGCCGTGTCCTTGCCTGCTATGCTCTCCCCATGCCCCACTTCCAAGCCTTACAACAAAGCTTGTTACTCCACTAAGAGAGCTCTGAGGGTTAACCAGGAAAATAGATGTCAAAGAATTTTGGCCAGATCTCACTTTTGTTTTCTTCATACTGATTTATTTGAAAGGGA